CCAAACATACAGGGAAGCTTGTAATGTCCGTGCAATTCTTGCGCATGATCACCTTATTCATAAAGCTATGACAGAAACTTCTGTTGGTCAGTCACCTTTCCAACTGACATTGCTCTTCTGCATGAATCTTCAAGTTTGCAGCCCATCTAACCCCATGGGACTCAGGCAAAAATACAAAGAGGGCATGAGTGAGGACATCCTCCACGGAGCTCAATAACAAAATACAAACCTGGACGACAACTTTTCTGATGTTATCTTCAAACAGGCCCTCATCCTCCTTCACGACAAACTGCACTCCATTGCTGGAAAATACCTCACGTCTATGGGACTACCAACACCCTACAGGGACAATGTTGTATGTGTTGGAATTATGAAATTTTGATTAAAAAAAATAATAATAATTTTCCGAAAAATGCGCAAATCGCATTAATTATGTTAATGTGTGTATTAACGTGCATAAATTATGATAATGTGTGTGATTATATGCATAAATTATGATAATCACGGAGATAATCGTAGTAATTTATGCGGATGCTTGCGATTATGTTACTGTGTGCAGTTATGATAATTAGGCTTGGTTTCGTTTATCCAGGGTTATATCAATCAGGATAACACGATTATCATCGATTAAACGTTTACCGATTATCTTAGTGTGTTTGTTATTTTTAGGTCTCCAGGTTCAGATCTCATCACAGGATACAGTTGTCAAGAATAAGACAGTTTTGCATGGACTTGGAAAGAAGCACTCGAACAGTTGGTGTGAAGCAATTTTAATTCTAAACAAGCACATGACACTCTAGTATGCGAAAGCGAGTATACGTCAATAAATTCATGGGCAATCTTATGTAATTAACGAAATTGAATGACTAAAAATACTTCTTCATTGGCGAAATTATGCAGTTAACGAAAATGAATGACTAAAACATTTCTTATTCATGTAACTCGACGGCAGCAACTGCTTTGCACGATCAGTTGATATTGAACGCACCACCTCGAAATGGCAACCCTTTTTGAAACGCAAAGACAGTTTTTCTTTTAAAGTCTTATTCGTGTGCGTGCTGTGTGTGCGTTGTCCCCTTGTAATATTAATTAATTCTTAGAGTCGGGAGTTGTGTCGTTAGCTTGTGTGGTGTGGGAGGATACGAACAGCGGCCAGCTTCCTCTGGGTGGGGCGTGGCCGCATCGAGTCGTGCTGCTCAGTCGCTCTGGGTTGGGCGTGGCCGCCGCTCTGCTCCTGCTGCTCCCTCGCTCGGCGTGTCGCTCGGCTTTTGCTCTCTCTCTCTCTCTCCACTGCTCGATGACGAGTTGGCACGATGCTGTCCTTGAAGATGCTCGGTCGCTCGTGTCGCTCGGTGTCGCTCGGTGGCGCACGGTGGCGCCCGGTGGCGCACGGTGGCGCCCGGTGGCGCACGGTGGCGCACGGTGGCGCACGGTGGCGCCCGGTGGCGCAAGGTGGCGCACGGTGGCGCACGGTGGCGCACGGTGGCGCACGGTGGCGCACGGTGGCGCACGGTGGCGCAAGGTGGCGCACGGTGGCGCAAGGTGGCGCACGGTGGCGCAAGGTGGCGCACGGTGGCGCACGGTGGCGCAAGGTGGCGCACGGTGGCGCAAGGTGGCGCACGGTGGCGCACGGTGGCGCACGGTGGCGCAAGGTGGCGCACGGTGGCGCACGCTTGGCGATCTCCACCTTTCCGGTTGTTCGCTGGTCGTCACTCTGACGAGTAGCGATGCTTCGTTCGTGGCAGGGTGGACGTTGGCGTCTTTGTTGGCTTCACTCGCAGCTCTGCGACTCAGGGTAGCGATTCTTCTCAGGTGGTGCAGACCTCGGCTTGTAGCGGCCAGCTTCCTCTGCAAACCTCGTCATTCTGGATGACGAAAACTTCTTGACGATCTGTGGTGGAGTCGAAGCCCTGGAGATCTGTGGTGGGGGCCAGAGCCCCTGACGATCTGAGTTGAATGGATTTTTCCCCGGCTTATATTCAGAAAATCCACTCAATCTTCCCGAGTTGTTTGAAGGCCGTCATATATCTTTCTGTGGGTTGAACACATCTGCGTTCGTGTGTTTCGTGTGTCGTGTGCGTGTTTATTAGTAAAGACCCAGCGGTGTAACCATTCTGGGAGGAGGGGTGGGGAATGTTATTTTGCTTGCGTGTGCAAATCTTGCTGTTTGTGCTCAAAACGCGATCACCCTCCTCTCTCTTTTGCGAGAGACAAACAAACTAAAACAGAGCGAGAATAAGCAGACATCACCGCGTCCCCTCCTCGCGACCTTCCTAACCCTCCAAGTATTCATGGGCCATCTGTTTGTGCTGCGGGGAGACAAAGACGGCCGTGCTTAACTCCAACACGCGAGCATCCACTCCTCTCTCTGCGTCTCTTGCGAGAGAAAACAACCAATGTCAGCACAAACCCCCCCCCCCTTTGTGACCTTTTTGCTCCCTCCTTGCTTACCCTGGGTGGGTCATTCTGAGGTCAGACCCCGCTGGAAGACAAAGGTGGTCGAGGAGATGTTTGCAATACATGTATGTGGTCCTGTGTGTTACATTTATTCTTGAATTATATTTTATGAGTTCCTTCGGTCTTGGTATCGGGGTTATCATTCGTCTATGTTTAATGAATATTCGCCATGATCCTCGTCACATTATTATTTTGGGCTTCGCCAAGTTTAGTTCTCCAGAGATTGGTGTTTTATTCTGAGTTAATTTTTTTATGTCCTGAGGTTAAGTGCACATGCACTTAAGCTTTCTGGAATTCGTACTCTTTAGTTTTTCGGAAGGTCGTGTAGATAGGAAACATATACTTCTAAATAATATGTATGCGGTGAATATAAGGGAATTACTAATAATAATATTATTGTTTGTTGGTTAATTATCTATGTTAAGTTTCTACTTTTCGGTAAGGAAAACGTTAAGAAAACGCGAGTTTCAACCGTTGTTTGCTCTGCACCTTATCTGTACATCTCCAGATGTCTTTGGGAGGTTAGTCCATACATCTTTTGTCCATCTGGATGTCTATGACCTCTCTGTCACCGACTTCTTACCAGTTTAATGGCCGTTTCACAGATTCCTGGTGTGTTTGTAGTGGGTTGTTTTCAATTTTTTATTAAAAGGTATATATAGATATAATAAAAAGAGAAATAGTTTTTTTTTTCTTAATTATTCTTAATATTAATAACGGAAAACAGGGCATAGATCCAACAACAACCTACATGCCTTTGCTCAAGAGATCCTAGTGAAATATGCTATTATGCTTGACAGATTCTTACATTTATTTAGGAAAATTAACCAAAGCTGATGGATGCACAAATAGAAGCCTACACGGAAATCTTGAAAGACATTGATACTACAAATCGAGTCACTTTTTATCCTTGATGCACCTGCCAGTACTGGGAAGACCTTTGTTTTGAAACTGCTCCTCGCAAAGGCTCGCCAGAGAGAGAGAATTGCTCTAGCTGTGGCGTCATCGAGGATTGCTGTGTAAGTCAATGTGTGTATGAGTCGATGTGTGTGTGTTTAGGTCCATGTGTGTGTGTGTGTAAGTCGGTGTGTCTGTCTTTTTTGCCCGGGTAACGCCAGATGTCTGTGTCCGTCGATGTGTGTGTAAGTCCAAGTGTGCATATTCGTCCATGTGTGTGTGTCAGTCGCTGTATGTGTGTTAGTCCAAGTGTGTGCATGGCTTCATGTGAGTGTGTAAGTCACTGTGTCTATGTGTGTCAGTTGATGTATGTAAATCGATGTCTGTTAGTCCATATGTGTGTTAGTCCATAGGTGCTCGCTAACAGCACTTGCCCCTACAGTCTGTTAAGGCTATACGGGGGATCTTTGTTAGTGCATATTTGTGTAAGTCAATGTGTTTGTGAGTCGATATGTGTGTATAACTCCATGTGTGTGAATCCGTATGTGTATAGGCCAATGTGTACGAGTCTATGTGCAGAAGAGTAACATGGGGATGTGACATCATGCTCGCTGTCCAGTGCGATGTCATGGGACGTGACGTCATGCGCGCCGGGCGAGGCAATGACGTCATGTCTCCTCTAGGTACTTAACGGGGACCCCGTGACGAAGGCAGGGTCACTGTGGAAGCCTGGGATAGAGAGCAGTTGAAGAGCCAGCCAGAGGTAGAGCTCAGGGAGTCTGGAGACAAGCCGGCCGAAGTGATAGGTGCTGCTCTCCCCGGTCGGTCGTTGTTGGCTGAACCCCCGATCCGACTCGAGGGAGAGAGCCCTGGAGCTAGCCGAGCTAGGAACAGACAGTGAAGATTCGTGTGAACGACCTAGTGAAGGACACTTACCCCTGGGGAAGTTATCCAAAAACCCTTAATAAATAACTGGCGCAAGCCCTTAACTGAAGACCTGCCTCTGTGTCATTTGCACCTCAACATATGTGTGCGAGCCCATGTGTGTGTCCCTTAATCGATTTGTGTGTAAAACCATGTGTGCTTAGGTCCATGTGTGTGCGAGCCGCTGTGTGTATGTCGATTTGTGTAACTCCATGTGTGTGTATCTAAAGCGAATATCTGTATGTATGTAAGTCGATGTGTTTGTGTGTATGGGTCGATGTTTGTGTGTCTAAGTCCATGTGTGTGTCTTTTTCGGCCGGGCAACGCTGGGTACTTCCCGCTAGTACTCTTATATAAGCGCACTTCATCTATCTGTGATGAACACTGCGCTTTCCATCGTTTTCATGCAGGAGGCGCTGCAAACCTACGCGCCCCCTGCATGAACGACGGAAGCACAGAGACAGACGTTCGATCACGTTGCAATCGATCTGCAGACGGCGGTCTTCTGGCACGGCCAGCTCTGTGTCGCCTTATCTCCACCCGGCAATCCCAACCAGGTGAAAGTCCGCATGGAACCGAACCCCGGTAAGGCCATCTACTTAATGACGAGAGAAAATTCACACGAAATGTCATTTTTAATTAAGTCTTCCAGATGTAAAATGATATGTTTAATGAAGAAATACAATTATTTAATTCAAAACATAATACAATTCAAAGTTGTTTCATTTTTAAACTTCAAAACGGAGCATCGGGAGTTTGCGTGAATGCATCGTTCGTGCACAATTTTTTTCGTGACTTTCCTGGCCCAAGGCTGTAAATGGTTGAGGGGGCTGCAGGCGGTCCGGCTTGCTTCAACCCATGGTTGTGAACATCCAGACGTTAATCGGCAAGGACCATTTCTTGTCCTAGTTCGCCAACATATAAGACGTCATGCAAATTTCGAATGAGTGTTGTTGTGAATGTATCTACTAGATGTGCTCTGCCTTGTAACCGAATACAAATCTGTACCAAAAATGCATTTCAAATATGTCCTTCAAATTACCTCCTTGCTATGAAGCAGATCAGCAGACACGACATTTTATTTATCGATCTCTCAACGAAACAAAGGAATGTATTACACAAACTATAACTAGCACAGCCTTCTGGGAGTGCATCATTGATTCAGTGCAAGCCACCTGTGGACCCTTATTGGTGCACAGCATCTCAAGAGCAGCCGGGCTTGCTTCAACCGATGGTTACGAACATCCAGACATTAATCAGCAAGGGGCATTTCTCATACTAGTTAGACAAAATCTACGTCAACACGTAAGACACAATTATAATTCGTGTTGTAGAGAATGTATCTCCTCTACGTGTAACTTTTGAGTGGTATGCCTTGTAACTGATGAATGATCCGAGTGTGCTCCCTATTTCAAAGACAATGAGTTGCTCCAGAGGCAGACGCTTCCTGAAAACACAAAAATACCTTTTGACCTATATCAGAAAAACAACGGGTCTCACCAGAGTTATCTTTACAGGTTATTCCAAAACACACTCTTTGTCCGAACATCACTTATTCAATGTTTGACCCTTATAGACAAAATGTTACATGTACGCACACAATCATACAAGTATTCATTCTAAATTATGGAGTCAGTTTAACAAAATTGAATTACTGCACTGAAATATACTGCAACAGGTTACATCGTATTAATAAGCTATTTAAAAAAAAATATGCACCGTCTGCTTAACAGTGTACGTACAACATACCATTGCGCCAATCAAAACAAGTAGGCCATTGCATGCTGGCGTCTGGGTCAAAATTGAGCAAATTCCAAACAGGCTATTTTCCACATGCAGGCCGGTGCAGAGCCACCACCTTGTGCCGCACAGGGGCAGCTGCTACTTGGGGATGCTCTTCGAGTGTTTGAGACGAGATACGATACAAAACTCCGAATTGCCGGGGCGATAGAGCACCATAAAAATGGAATTATTAGAACAAAGTGAATGCTTGGGAGCTTATTGGGTCTCGCTCCTGGTTAGAGATCTACCCAACCCACAGGTCCATAAAGACTGGCCGCTCGTACCCTGCAAGGTGAACCTAGGAATTGAGTGTTCAACTTATTTCTTGTCATTAAAGGTCTGTGACAAAAGGTGCATCTATTGGAGCAACATCGTCTCAAGCTTACATATCTACCGGGTCTCCATTTGACTTGACATTGTATTGTCGGATGAAGTCCACCCACACCTCCACCTCCACAAACTGCTGGGAGTTGCCTCGCTCTGCCTCACAGTCAGAATTCTCCTCCTGCTTCACGTTGCCTCCATCGATGTGAAGGTCCGATTTTGGAATTGAATCTTCATCTTCACATTTTACCTTCACTTCTTCACTCTTCACCATCACTTCTTCACTCTTCACCATCACTTCTTCACTCTTCACCATCACTTCTTCACATTTCACCTCGATACCTTTAAAAGTGTCCAAGCTGGGATTTTCTTCCGGTTCTTGTTTGATGAGGGATGGGCTCATTGCGGCACTTTGACTTTCACAAGCTGATTTCAGACTCCAGTCCTTGTGGATCTTCTGATGCTTGTGTGTTCTCTGGTGTTTTTCAAGAGCAGATGACTGTGCAAACGCCTTCCCACACACAATGCACTTGAAGGGTTTCTCTCCCGTGTGTGTTCTCTGGTGTATTACAAGAGCAGATGAATGTGCAAACGCCTTCCCACAAACATTGCACTTGAAGGGTTTCTCTCCCGTGTGTGTTCTCTGGTGTGCTACAAGAGCAGATGACTGTGCAAACGCCTTCCCACACACACTGCACTTGAAGGGTTTATCTCCTGTGTGTGTTCTCTGGTGTTTTTTAAAAACAGATGAACATACAAACGCCTTCCCACACACACTGCACTTGAAGGGTTTCTCTCCCGTGTGTGTTCTCTGGTGTGCTACAAGAGCAGATGACTGTGCAAATGCCTTCCCACACACACTGCACTTGAAGGGTTTCTCTCCCGTGTGAGTTCTATGGTGTGTTACAAGAGTAGATGACTCTGAAAACGCCTTCCCACACACACTACACTTGAAGGGTTTCTCTCCCGTGTGTGTTCTCTGGTGTGCTACAAGAGTAGATAAACGTGCAAACGCCTTCCCACACAAACTACACCTGAAGGGTTTCTCTCCCGTGTGTGTTCTCTGGTGTTTTACAAGAGTATACGAATCTGAAAACGCGTTCCCGCACACAGTGCACTTGAAGGGTTTCTCTCCTGTGTGAGTTCTCTGGTGCCTTGTCAAATGTCCAGGACGATCCGTGCTGTATGCACACCGGTCGCATTGTTGCCTTTTGGCACCGAGCTGCGCCGACTGCCTTTGCTCCATCAGACAAATTCGACAGAGGAAGCGACAGCTGCAGACAGAAAAAAGTTACATCCACGTCAGTATCGATGCACAGAGGAATGCATATTTACACAGTAACACATGACTTATAAGTCGACACTTATTGATATATTCATGATGTAGTGAAAAAGTTTACCAAATTCATCACATGGGCTGTTCTGGCACACAATAAGAGGGCGAATGGTCATAAACATGCCTGGAAGCCCTCGTATCTTCAAAATGAATGTTAACCCAAAACTCCGAGCACACAATTTTGGCTGTCTAGCTACAAAAGGAATATTTATGAAAGCTAAATTTAGCTGACAAAGCAAAGGGTGTTGAAAATAATACTATTTGTGTTATGCAAAAATGCATGAATTAATGTTCAATCGCAACTTAGAGGTGTGAAGCCAGCCAGGCTCACGATGTCCTTGCACGCTGGAATGAACAGATCTGACTTCAGCTGCATGTGTGTGCTGTGTTAACTTCTTGACTGTTTCCATTCTTATAAAGTTCCAAAGGAAAACAAAAACAAACTATTGTTGTCATATAACCTTCGTGTTCAATAGAGTTAATAGACTTAACTGCCAACACAAACTTTACACTGTAACACACTGGCATGGTTAACAGGTGGTGGTGTGTCCAGACCCATGCCTGGCCACCTTCATCCGCTCACTGTTAATGCTTCCTTACTCATCCAAGTAATTCAATGAGGATTAATCAACACCCCCGAGGTTGCGTGTCTCTCTCGCTCCCCGTGGTGAGATGTTAACTACCTCTCCTGGCATACAGGAAGTCGTGGGTTCATCCCAACCCTGATGCCTGCTGTATATTTTTAGTTTGCGTGTCTTTCTCTCTTCCTGTGGTCGCGTGGATTTATCTCCGGATCTCCCGGTTGTCCCCACTCCACATGCAGAGAGTGAACACCGCCACGCGTCCAGAGTGAACACCACCACGCGTCAAGAGTGAACACCGCCACGCGTCTAGAGTGAACACCGCCACGCGTACAGAGTGAACACCGCCACGCGTCCAGAGTGAACACCGCCACGCGTCCAGAGTGAACACCGCCACGCGTCCAGAGTGAACACCGCCACGCGTCCAGAGTGAACATCGCTACGCGTCCAGAGTGAACACCGCCACGTGTCTAGAGTGAACACCGCCACGCCTCTAGAGTGAACACCACCACGTGTCTAGAGTGAACACCACCACGCGTCCAGAGTGAACATCGCTACGCGTCCAGAGTGAACACCGCTACGCGTCCAGAGTGAACACCGCCACGCTGTTGACAATCCCCACCTTGTTGTTATTGTTGTTGTGGGCAGGTCGCTTCTCAAAATAAGAGCGGTATAGCAGCTCAAGCGGGCGTGGCCTGGTAACAAATGAAAAAAAAAAACGTGAATATTTAAAATAAAACAAAGTTACAAAGTAGCGAGCCAGGTGAGGAGAAATTAAAACTTAAGCAAGATACTCTTTGGTTCTTTCGGTAAAGTCACGTAAAATAAATAAATAAAATTTTAGTTTCAGTTTCATTTATTTGGTATAGCCCTGTGAGCCATTCGGCTCTTGAATCGGATGCAACCGCAACAAACAAAAAACAAAACCATGAACGAGAAAACATCTTAAAGTGACTATGTGACTGTGCAAACATAAAATCCAGGAAAAAAACATCAAAATATTCCACAAAAAGCACCGTACACCAACGCTGTGTGCAAATAGCATACGACGTTTCGATTGCAACACGAGTAATCATCATCAGGTACAAATGAAAAAGAAAACAAACCTAGTAAACTTAGAAATGTAATGCAATACAACACAGAGAGTCGGCTAACATAACAGTCAACACCCCACCTGGTTGATAACGTTCTTCCAAAGATTGCTCAATTTGAGAGAAGAGACAAAACACAGACACGGAGACACATTGACAGAGAGATGACACAGAGACATAGAGAGAGAGACACACACATAGGCACACATAGAGATGACACACATAGGCACACAGAGAAACACCGCCTGTGTCGAGGCCTTAGAGAGAGGGGGGCAGAGAGAGGGGAGGTAGAGAGGGGGGGTAGAGAGAGAGGGGGGGGGGGTAGAGAAATTAGCATGTCAAGGCAAGGCCGTAGCCATGGAGTCAACATTGGGGGGGACCAAATCTTCCAGGGGTCTGGGGTCCCCCCCCCCCCCAGAAAAATATCTAAATTTGAAAACTCATTTCCTGCCATTTCCTCCCTAAAATATTTTAAAAAGTTCACTAACACATGGGATGGAATTTATTTTATTTTATACAATAATGTCTAATAGTGTATTGTATTACATTGCTATATTTTTTTCTTTTTTACATTTTCTTGTTTCATAGTGTGTAATGGCAGAGATTAGGGATTCATAAAGTACAACGCAATCATATAAACAGAAATCTATGCATTGTTATATGAAGACAAGTCCAGATTTTGTGGCCGTGGTTTTGCAAATTGTTTTTATTAACATAGCATCGCAATTATTAGTAAAAAAAATATTTTTATAGCAATATATTGGGGGGGACATTTTGAGCAAATTTAATTATTATAACATATTATAATTATAACATATCATTATTATAACATATTATAATTATTATAACATATTATTATAATTATTACAACATATTATAATTATTATAACATATTATAATTAGGGCCTTGTGTCAATGAGAGATTTGGAGGCTTGGTGACTGCACTTAATCAAACAAACTTCGTAACATTTGAAATGTATTGCAATGCAACACAGAAAGTCGGTCAACACACAATGAACGCATAGACTGGCTGATTGCGTTCTTCCACAGATTGCTAAACTAAGCGAGAGAATTGAAGCAAACGCGATCAGGCGAGGGCAGGAGGCAAGGCCCCGCGTTGTAAAGTTCCAACCTGGACATCGTTTCCATGCTCGCTGCTACTCAATTGACATCCCAACGAGAGAGAGAGCGAGGCTCTACCTCGGTAAACAACAACAACCACAACAACAACCACCACCGCAACCACCACCACCGCAACCACCACCACCGCAACAACCACACCACAACCACACCACAACCACCACCGCAACCGCCACCACCGCAACCGCCACCACCGCAACCGCCACCACCGCAACCACCACCGCAACCACCACCACCGCAACCACCACCACCACGGCCGCAACCACCACCACCGCAACCACCACCACCGCCGCAACAACCACCACAACCACCACCGCAACCACCACCACAACCACCACCACAACCACCGCAACCACCACCACAACCACCACCACCACCACCGCCGCAACCACCACCACAACAACCACCACCACAACCACCGCAACCACCACCGCAACCACCACCACCACAACCACCACCGCAACCACCACCACAACCACCACCACAACCACCGCAACCACCACCACAACCACCACCACCACCACCGCCGCAACCACCACCACAACAACCACCACCACAACCACCGCAACCACCACCGCAACCACCACCACCGCACCACCACCGCAACCACCACCACCGTAACCACCACCACCGCAACCACCACCACCGCAACAACCACCACAATCACCGCAACCACCACCGCAACCACCACCACCGCAACCACCACCACCAACGCCGCAACCACCACCACAACTACCACCACAATCACCACCACAACCACCACCACAACAACCACCACCACAACAACCACCACCACAACAACCACCGCCGCAACCACCACCACAACAACAACCACAACAACCACCACAACCACCACCACAACAACCACCACCACAACAACCACCACCGCAACCACCACCACAACAACAACCACCACCACAACCACCACCACAACAACCACCACAACCACCACCACAACAACCACAACAACCACCACAACAACCACCACCACAACAACCACCACCACCGCCGCAACCACCACCACAACAACAACCACCACCACAACAACAACCACAACAACAACAACCACCACCACCGCAACCACCACCACAACAACCACAACAACCACCACCACAACAGCGATGAGAATTTCTCACCTCGGATTTCAGTTCACGGGCGGAGCGGCAACTTCCTGGTCCCTCGCGACGTCACGCGGCAGCAGGTGACATGACGTCACTTGCGGGATACGATGACACTCCCTTCCCCCAATGAGCGGCTCTCAACTCGCGACGGCTTTCACGACACATTATGTTAATGAGCCGCCAGTCACCGGGCGTGGCTTTGCCCAAATAAGGATTGGCACTGGGACAGATATCGGCAGCGGCCGAGCAGAAATGACGTCACGCTCAAGAGCGCGGTGGTCGGGGGTGGGTGACATGACGTCACTAGCGAGGCACACCGCCCCCTGGCGTTTGACGCCGCTGAGGTCATGCTGAGCGGTGACGTCAGAGGGCGGGGTCAGAGTTCAAGTTTGTTGACAAGGAGAGCGGCAGTGACGTGGTGAGCGCTGCGCTCCGCACCGACCAGCCGAGTTCTGTTCCCGCTCGTGGCCAACACCGCCAGTGACGACTTTGTGAACCGGTCCTGAGCCTCCCCTAGGTCGACTCAGCCTCAAACGAGTACCCGGTGCGGTGTGTCAACATCGCCACTATGGAGACAAAGGCGGCCGGGCGTGGTGCTGGCCACCCACCCCCTCGTGTGCCGTCCCACCCTTAATAGGTGCTCGCGAACAGCACTTGCCCCTACAGTCTGTTAAGGCTATACGGGGGATCTTTGTGTGTTGGGAGCAAGTTTGAGTGGCGTGAAGCCGTGGGAGTTGAACGGGCGCCTGCTGCTACTGACAGTCGTTTACTCCGGTTGGACAGACGCTGATAGACAGACACACACAGACAGGCAGGACAGGCAGACAGACACAGAAAAGAGGAACACAGAGACAGAGAGACAGGCAGAGAGAGACACAGAGGCGAACAGACACAGACTGACAGAGAGATGTTGAATCGAACACACTGAACTCGCTCCATTGAAAGAGTTTCCTCGATCTTTGCCCATCCCCGGAAGTCGTTCTAGTTTCTATTTATTTCATTGTGTGTGGTGTGAACGTGTAAGCAATGTGGGATATCGATGAACACGGACATGAACAAGATCAGCAGACAAGACGTCTTTCATACTCTTTGGTTCTTTCAATAAAGTCACGTAGGTACAAAAATAATAATAATTAATAAATCACGACGTTTCGATCGCAACACGAGCGGTCGTCCTCAGGCGAAAACATCCAGACATGAGGACTGCCTAGATGAAAACCAGCATGGAAGGGGCCCAGTGTGGGGCCGGCTATGCTAATGGCATAGTCCCGTGTGTGTGTGTGTGATGTGAGGTCTCCTGGCAGCAGTCATTCTCCGCTGTAGTCCTGGCATTTGCTGCTCAGCTTCATTCCCCAGCTGTGGTCCCAGTGGCACCGTCTCTCTGGGGAACCGTGTGGTGTTTGTAGCGAGTATCACGGGGTGGGTGGGTAGTGTGGTGATAGTGGTCACAGTTGGTACCGATGCACGACCACCGCCACCACCCCTACTGGGCAGTGGACCTGCCACCACAAAGCAGCACGCGGCGGAGGAGTGAGGCGATCGCTGTCGCCACGCGAGCGAGGCCCCCTCGCTTCCTCTTCTTTTCGTGCATCTCCACCTGCACCTCTTCCGTTTTCTCCTCTGTCTCATCCTCCTCCATCCCCTCTTCTTCATCCTCCACCACCATTTTCTCCTCTACCTCCTCTTCCTGCGCCACCTCCATCTTCTCCATCTTCTTCTCCGCTAGCACCATCTTTTCCTCCTTCATCTCCTCCTCAACTTCCGGCACCACCATCTCCACCACCGTCTTCTCTTCCTCCTCCACCACCATTGTTTCCCCTTTGTCCGTCGTCTCCATGTCCTCCACCACGACCATCTGTTCATCTTTCGATTTAAAGCTTTCGTGACTGCAGGGATTCATCTTCTTGGTTCTTTCGGTAAAGTCACGTAGAAGGGAAGTAATAAAATAATAAAAATAAAACATAATAAAACAATTGTTTTATTATGTTTTATTTTTATTATTTTATTACTTCCCTTCTACGTGACTTTACCGAAAGAACCAAGAAGGAGACATCTGTTCATCATTTGTTGTCTCCTTGTCCTCCATCTCCGTATTGTCTTTCTCCTCTGCCTCCGTGTTCTCCTCCATTGTCACCATCACAATCTCGTCCTCCTTTGCCTTCTCTTCCTCCGATTTCTCCTCCTCCTCTGTCTCTACCTCATCCTCCATCATCTCCTCTTTCACCTCTTCCTTCGTCTCCTTCTCCACATCCTCTGTCTTCACTTCAAAGGCCTGGACGAGTGAGGAGGAGGGCTGCGCTGGCACAGATCTGTGAAGAGACAACACGACACCGTTCCACCTTGCTGCTACGGCAGACATCGCCATCTTCCCATCGTCCGTGAGTGGAATGTGTGGCGGATTAATTCGAGATTCATATAAACATCAATAACGACATAGCCAGTGAGTGTGCTTAGTATTCGTGCTGTCATTCTCATGGCGCCAGGCTAAGCTTGAGATAGGTGCAGCTGTGTCTCACACAGACTGCTGTAGTTTCACAGTAGTGGGTGGCGTTGCTGTGCAAATTTAGCTGAATAATTTGAAGTGACATTTTTTTGGTTCTTTCGGTAAAGTCACGTAGGTATAAAATATAATAAATAAAATCACAACGTTTCGATTGCAACACAAGCAATCATCATCAGGTGGGAAAGCCACAGCAAGAAACGTTCTTGAAATAACGACATGGCCATCGAAACGTCGTGATTTAATTCATTTGATTTCATACCTACGTGAATTTACTGATATAACCAAAGATTATGGATCCCTGTAGTCACGAAAACTTCAAATCTAGATTACATTGTTATATATGTCTATTCTAATTGACCCCTTGCACATAATGTCCTAAGCATTTCAAATGACATCGATAGAGATCCTGCACGTCCACTGTGACGGAATGGGTGTGGATCTGTGTGGTCAATGCAGCAGCAATAATAGCCAAGGCGGGAAGCAAGATCTGAACTGTAATGATGAAGAATGAGTGCACGACAATTTGGTCGCTTCAACACATCCACGATTTCAAAAAAGTGTCCGTCAGTGATTTGTGGTCGAGAGAGCCACCTCCCTTGACGTCGAAGACATCTCAGAGTGCATTGCATGCGATGAGCCTCTCGCATCTCTCTTCTCATCGCGTTTTAAATTGGACACCCCTCTCAGTGGTAGCTGTCGCTGTACATTACAAAGCGACAAGGCACCTGGCCTGGAAACAGGCGATAGAGAGCGAGAATCTCACGATGGATGGAGGGTTACATGGTGAAGATATGCCCACTTAGTTATGTGGTCTAACCCAGAAACCAGTTATGAAAAATAAATCTGTCAGAGTATAGCGGAATGTACACGTGGGGTTTGCAGTGTCTGTGAATTTTGAGAGCGCGACAGGGCTTGAGCACCTGTGCGTCACAGCAACATTGACCTGGGTTTGATTTCCACGTTTGGCCACATGCTCCGTGTGGATTATGCAGCCAGCTGTTCTGGGAAGGTTCTGCAGCTTTCTCCCTGTTACTGAACCCACACAAGTAATGCAAACCGTTCGATTTGGATCGCAAACAGTAGCAACTTTCTTGCAAAATGCGAGCAAACTTGGCAGGATCCTCCTGAAAAAAAGTCTTGAGACCAAGTAAGGCTGATGCTGCGTGAGAAGCATGGCAATAAATAACAAAAATAAGTATAACCCGTAAAAACAAAGTTTTTCACTATCAATCCTTTATATGCGTGGCGGCTAGTGTCCTCTCGTCCTCTGGCTTGAGATGGCTGCCACCTATGGGTCAGATGATTGTCTGCCAGTATTAACCAATTGGTAATTAAATATTTAATTTGTTTTCCCTAAGCAGTCTAAAATTTTGGAAAAAAATTTTCACGAACATTAATTGTCTCGCACAACGAGTCTGTGTGCAAAATGTCAGCTCGATTGGATCATGGGAAGTGGGTTAAAAACGACCGAAATATTTGCACGGTCGTAAGCAAGCAAGCACGCAA